CAGTTCAAGAAAATGGAGAACAAAAATTTTAAAAACCCTCATAAACTCAGAAGAAAAATGTTCACTAATTTCCAGGAAAGCAAGAAAAAGCAAAGGACCCATTTCAAAAAAATGGAAAGGAGAACAACCCCATAAAATTGGGGAGAAAAAAAAAGCACAGAAGATCAATCTAGAAAACAGAGCCCAAATGGCATAAAAAAATATCCCCTATTTCTGCAATTTTATCTAGAAAATTAGGGATCATAAGAGGAGAAATCTTACCAAGAAATAAGGCAAGGTAATGATTTGTTCGATGACAAGCCACTGGATGCCATAGCCGAAGAGTCCCATGAAGGCAGCCATGAACATGACGAGCCACAGGGGAAGGTACATGAGGGAAACTCCGGAGCACCAACCAAAAAGCTTCCCCATGTCGGAGGCCACAGACAAGTAGTTGAGCTGCAGCTGAGATATCCCAAGAACCGATTTCAGAGTGGAGGAGTAGGAAGAGAAATCGAAGTTGGTACCGGTGAAGGCCTGAACCCATGTCGTTGCGACCACTATCATCCATTTTCTTGATTGCCCCGCCATTTTCCGGTACTAAATGAGATGTTTGAATTGATTGCCAAAGTTAAAGAGAATGTTTGCTATTGTGTTGATAAGCGGTTACAACAAAATGTCAAAATTTCAAGGTGTGAGTTTGTTGCAGGATCTGTTCTTTATCATTTCGTCAAGTTTCATCCTTTGGAGTGTGCGCTTTCGGAAAGATGGATAGACAAATTTCCACTAAAGAAGTTTAGTTGGTCACAGGAATTGACCAATAAATACAGGCGTGTCCCTTTATCTTCCAGAACCCGAAACCGTACCCATATTATGAATATCTTAGTCTATTTATAATCTGGCCCAGGTTTTTCAAAGCTCGGTTTCGAACTTGATTTTTATCCGAGTCAAATCTAACTCGGGTTTAAGTTGAGTAATTCACGAATAGTCAAATTCATTAATAATTTGATGGGGTTGTTTAATTTATATTTTTAGAGTATATATTAAAAAAGTATTAATTATATTTTTTAATTAATTTTTATAAAAAATAAAAATTAATTTTAAGTTGATCAATTATTTAATTAAAATCATTCAAGTGATATTAATGTTAAAAAAATATCTTATTTTTATATTTTTAAATAAAAATTTATTATAAAATGATACATTTAATACATTTTAATCTATATCCTAAAGATATAAGTTTGATATAATCCTAATTTGATGTATAAAACTCATAAGGTAAATGCTACCTTCTTGCGTTATTGTATGTACTTTTTTTTTTTTTTTCAATTCTAAAGATTTGATTCATGGTAAGTTTCAGGTAAGTTTTAGGATTAAGATGCATAAAATTTAATTTGAAAACACTTTTATTGTTCCCAAAAAATAGTTTTTTTTTTAAGTACCCTGTTTTGCATGTCAATTATATTCGAATGTAAAATAGGAACAGTATTAGATGAAGGGGATAACTCTCATTCTCACCATTAGATAGATAGTTTAAATTGTATGAATTAATACAATTCAAACTATCTAATACTTTTTTTTTTAATTTAAAAATTTGTTGAAAAGAAAATAAATTTTTTAACATTTAAAGTATTTATAAATAAATTTTTCTTTTAAAACTTATTTATAAGTAATATAAGTGTTGCACCCGCAACACTAACTTTGTTGGATAGGATACAGATTTCTCAAAATTAAGACCTTAGTTCTAATTTTTATAAAAGTAATCTCCCTTCTCCTCCCATGTTCAACAACAAAATTTAAGTGCTAAAAAACGACATTTTCTCTCTTTTTTTTGTAACAATTATTTAATGAAAAGAAAGTGTTTTGAAATAGAGTACTGCAAAGCATAGCTTATTGATGAATGAGGGGTTCACTGACAATTGATGTGAGTTTTTTTATTTAATAATTGATATTTTATAATTTGATATAATTCAAATTACAAAATAGAACCTTCGCAAATTAACGTAGCTTGGACTGCCACAATTTAGTACTTACCATCTTTGGATGAGAATTGGGAAGGAATAACAGAATTCACAAAAGAAGCCCTTGTTCGGATATTCAAAATCAGAAGGGATGTTGGAGACAGACTCCTTGGATTTGCTGGGCAGAAGACCTCTCCTATGTCACCAAGTGTAGCAGCTGAACGGGGGCTGAAAATTTTAGGTAAAATACCCAAATCCACCCTCAAAATATAGTGGCAGGGACGGATCTACCTCCAAACAAAAAACGAGAACAAGTCCACCCACAAAGTTTTCGATTTAAATAAATCACTTCAAATTTAACATGTGATGTCATTTGATATCAGTAATTCATTAATTCGTTAATGGATTGCTGACGTCAGATGACGTCAAATTAACAAATTGCTGAGGTTAAATGACGTTATACGTTAAATTTTGGGTAATTTGTCCAAGTCAAAAATTTTATGGATAGATTTGTTCTCGTTTTTTGTTCAGGGGTGGATCCATTCCTACCACTATACTTTGGGGGTGAATTTGGATATTCTGCCAAAATTTTATGCAGCCAGTGTATTTTGCAAAGAATTGATTTTTTTTTTTTTTAAGTAGCCTCCTAAAAACTTAGTGCTGCTTTGTACAGACAATGTTTTGGGTAATAAAAAAATCACAAAAAATACTTAGAAATAAATTATTTATTTTAATTATTTATTGAATTAATAAAATTTTAAAATTAAATGGTATTTTATTTTTAATTTTTCTTTAAGTTCTTATTAAAAGAAAAGTAAAATTCTCCCATTCCATTTTTTCCTTAATTTTATTTTTCTAACGGAAGTTAACAATACCCTCCCTCCCTTTCCTCTTTTTTTTTTTTTTTTTGCATTTGTTGACGAGAAATCATAAATGAAAACAAAAAGGAAAAGAAAGGACCTTACAAAAGTTTTTTGCTTTTTTTGAATGAAAGTGGAATTTTTTTGTATTTACAATCAAGCTATACCATATCTACAAATTATAAGTAATGTAAGCAAGATCTATAAGGTAATTGGTTAAATTATTGACAAAAAAAATATTTTCTTATGCATATGATTGAGGTTTAAATCTTCATTTTCCCTTTTTTTTTTTTTTAACATGAGAGATAGAAATAATTAGACTGTTATTGTAATGAATAAAACTCTAACAAATATTAAGAGTTCAATGTATCTGAATCAAAGTAATTACAAATGTGTGTACCTTTATTTTTCCTCTTTATATTTTTTAATAAAATTTTCAGTTAATTAACTTGTTTCATTTAAAAAAAAAGATACTAGGATATCTAATCACATTTATTGGGATTTATACCCACAAAACACAATTAAGCACAGCAAAATCAAGGTGAATTCAACAAGGTACTTAGATGTCCACTCAACAGTCACATGTCAAGTATGAAGGAGGTGATATCTAAACAAATATTACGAATTTTAATGCACCTGAAGCAAAGTAGTTTGTGCCTTCATTTTTTTTTTTAATGAAAATTTTAATTAATTGACTTATTTCATTTTAAAAAAAAAAAATGATACTAGGATATCTAATCACATAAATTGGGATTTATACCCACAAAACACAATTAAGCACAGCAAAATCAAGGTGAATTCAACAAGGTAGTTAGATATCCACTCAACCAGTCACATGTCAAGTACGAAGGAGGTGATATCTAAACAAAAGAGCACCTTATAACCCACCATCCGTGCTTACCTAATCGAACATAAGCCAATCCACCAATTTGACACGTCTACTCTTAAACCCTAACTAAGCTTGACAAATGGGCGGGTTAAGTTTGATTCGGATTGAGTCCAACCAGGGGTTAACAAGTACTAACCTAATTTCACCTTGTTTTTATAATCATGGGCCAACCCATAGGTCCACCATCATTTTTTTCTTTAGTTAATTCCTTTGATTTTAATTTATAATTAAACGACTCAAATCCCAAATTTTTTTATTGGTAGAAGAAAAGGTTTTATTAAGTAAGAAATACAGGTATATTAAAAAAAACAAAAAGAAAGGAGAAAATGATAAACTGCAATTATAATGCAAAGCATAAGAGACATAAGATAGTCAACAAAAAATCACACAAATTCTAAAACAAATAAAAAAATAGTAGGAAAGTCAAGGGACCTAAGTTTTTTACTGGATTGATGCCCAAAAAATGTTCTAGAAGAAAAAAGTTCATCCCAATCATAAAGAAAATTAAGATATGGCAAGAGAAAATAATGGAATCACTAAGCAAAAATACTTGCATTGCACTTAATATAAGTCATTGTAATGTTCTCTGCTTCTTTCAACATAGAACCTAGGGGTGTTCGCGGGGTGGTTTGGTTTGGATTGTAACATTTTTTAATCCAATCCAATTTAATCGATTAGTAAAATTTTTAAACCAATTCAATCCACTATTATATGATAACCAAACCAATCCAATTTAAATCGGATTGGTGTGGTTCGGTTGGATTGATCGGTTTTTAACACTATTAAATATATATGTAAATAAATTTAACATTAAGTAAAAAACATAAATATAAAATACGTTAATATCCAAATAAATAGAAACATAATTAAAAAAAGTACAAATTA